GGGGAGGGGGAGGGAAGCAGAAGACCATCTTATTCCCACTGGGCAGATAAAATCCTTATTAATATTTTAGGTGTGTTGTATTCACAGCAAGCTATGTTCAAGGCTCAAAGTCCTTGGTAGAACACGCCAGCCTTTCTGAGTCCCCCCCAAGGGAGTCTTCTTCCAGGTCTGACAGCCGTGTTGCGTTGCCCACATGCTGGTACCTCTTGCGGTTTTTCCCACTTCCTATGCGGCAGGTTTTCGCATGCGTCCACCTTCTGCAGCGTGACACACTGTTGAGTGCACCCCGGAAAGCAGCGTGCCCGCCGAGAGGCTCGCGACCTAATGCTGTCGGGGAAGGTGGGCCTGTGCCAGTGTCACCTCCCAACAGGACGTTTGTGCAGCGCCCACAGCCACCTCCCCGAGCCCAGCGTCACGCACAAACCCTCCCGACAGACGCACGCCAAACAAAGGCAGTGCACCTCAAAGACCCCAGCATGGCTGCCTCATGATCAGGACGCCGAGGGGCAGCAGCAAAGACTGTCTTTCTACCGTGTCTCCACGTGTGCACACAGCTGCTTACATCAGGCTAAGCATCCTGTCCTCCTCCACGCACTACTTCAAAAGCTTTTCTTCTAGCTTTGGGAGTCCTGGAGCCCAGTTCTAGATGCTAAGATACAGTGAGGTGTTTGTTTCATTTTACGGAAGATCTCACAAGGCTTCGGGGGAAAAATGCTTGTCCAGAAACCAGGACATTTGCAGAGCTGAAATGCAGAAGGAACATGGAGTGATTATCAAATAATGTAAATAAAGTTATCGGTGGTTTGATAGCGTATGAAAACAGGAGGCCCCACAAAGCCATTTCAACCATCTGTTCAGCCACAGAGCCACCCAAGCCCTGGTTCCTTTTTTCTTTTTTAAATAATGTCTTGTTTTATTGTAAAGGTGATGTTCGGAGGGGTTACATTTACATAAATAAGGTGATGAATACATTGCTTGTTGAATAGTATACCCTCCTTTGTTTTCTCCCACTCCCCCACCCAACCCCCCCAACTTGTAAAGTTCATTTCCAACATATTGTCTTATGAATATGAATATCGATGTTGCATTGGTTCACCCTTTGTCCTTTGTCTCACCATTTTGTTATTCCTCATTCTTTCTCCAAATCAAGACACAGGAAGCCAGAATCAAAAACTGACAACAGGGGATAAACCAAAGGAAATAAAACTAAAGAAATAACTTCACATATATAAAAAAGCTATTTTTCCATATCTTGGAGTTCATTTCAATTAGCATCATTTTAAATGGTCATATGTATATACCACATTTTCCACTCATCTACTGAGGGTCATTTGGGTTGGTTGCCTATCTTAAGTATGGTAAATAATGCTGCAGTGAACACGGTTGTGCTGGTAGCTTTAATCTGGCCTTGTTTGTGATCATTTGGGTAAATGCCCAGGAGTGGGATTGCCCAGCGTGGCTGAACCAGTTTACGTTCCCACCAACAGTGCAGTAGCGTTACATTCTCGCCAGCATCTGTTGTTATCTGTTGTTTTGATAATGGCCATTCTGACTGGGGTGAGGTGGAATCTCAACATAGTTTTCACTTGCATTTCTTTTATCCAAACCTGGGTTCCTGAGGGTCTAAGGCTGAGGAGGCCTGGCGCTCCACGGTCTGCACCTGGGAGTTTGGGGACACAGCCCCTCCCTTCCCAGGGGTTTGGGGACACAGCGGACCCCAGAGCGGTCCTTTGGGGGGCTAGCTGGCTCAATGTGTAATGCAGGTCAGGCTGAAAATAACTCGTGCTTTACAAAGCGTCAGCATTTCCACATATATTCAATCTGACTCACTCTTGGCAAATCCTTTGCTATGGGTCTGGTATCTTAGGTTATATTAATATGTGCTATTGATTCATTCAATAAATGTTTTTCCAGGGCTTGGTGCCAGATGCCCTCCTGGGCCTGGGAGTGAAAGGGCAGACACAGCCCTTGTCTCCCGGGGCCTACATTCTTGCAGCAAGACGGAGCTGTCACTAAGTGACCAAGCCAAGATGACAAACGCATACAACCGCATACAACAAGAGACCTGCAAAGGATGCGAAGATGGGCTGAGACAGAGGAGCCGCGGGCAGTGCCCAGGGTGGGCGCTCGCGGTCTCTGGAGGCCGTGGCGTACTGAGCACTGAACCCCAGCATGGCCGTCTGGGATGAGGAGGGCCAAGGCTCCCTGCACACTCCCTGTCAGAGGATAAACGCTACCCGTGGGAACGGCCGTTCAGAGTCCTCAACCCCCACGCACTGCCTGCACAGGGAACAGAAAATATTCATCTTTTCCGTTCCTCCCTCTTTTAACTTTAACCTTGTTAAAACTTAAAAATAAATAGTAACACCCAAGTCCCGCCTGACCCCGAAGCCTTGGTTTTCTCCAGCTCCGTGCTACTGTCCACCAGGCAGTAGGTGGAAGTGAATTACAGCTCAGGACTGGAGATCAGGATCGAAACGGCGTCTGTTCCAGACAGCCCCACGGACAGCCGTCTGGGATCCGAGAAGGAAGAGAGAACTTGGGTTTGAAAGAAAGGGGGGAGGGAATGCCCGGAAGGTTAAAGATTCAAGAAGAATTGAGCCACCGGAAGGACTAAATAGAACCTCAGCCGGCCCGGTCTCAGGAAGGAAGTCTCCTTTGGCTGTGACACAGGAAATCAGCTCCAACTTTTTCGGGGAGCGCTGGTGTGTGCGGGTTGAGTGTGAGAGGAGGTCTCGGAGCTGGGGATGGGGTTGCCCAGGGACTCCGAACCGGGGAGCAAACAGCAGCGTCTCTGCAGCACAGCACCCGAGACGGCGCGGGGCTTCTTCCGACCATCAGATCGCACCGTCGCAGCCGACGTACCGACATGAGAACAGGCTCTCGAAATGTCCATCTATTTCCTTCCTGGCAGAAGCACGCCAAGCCCCCCTCCCCACCTCCCTCGTGGCTCATTTGACAGGCAAAGTGGGGAGTAGAATCACGGGTGCTCCAAGGTTACCCTCTGTGGGCTTATGAGTTATGTATTCCTGCTTTGACAAGCTCCTATCCTTTACCTTTCTGCCTGCTGTGACATTCATGCTTTCTCGTCGTGTTTTTAATTAAGATTGTTTTTCAAACCCTCAGCAACCCTCTAAATATCAAGGAGGAGCTCGTGTTGCAGGGATGACCGACGCAAGTATCTGTGCTCTCCATGCTGGCCTCGGCTAGACTTCCTGCTGCCCGCCCCGCGCCCACCCTCCCTGGGTCTGCAGGGTTGACCGCAGGCAGAGGGGAGCAACAGAGCTCTTCTGTCTAAGGTCTGATTCCAGCATTTGCTCTAGTCGGAGAAGAATAACGTCTTGCTGGTTTTGTTTGTGGCAGTCCGAGGGACTCGCTGACCACACGTTTGAATGCAATCAAATGAATGAGAGAAAGAAAAGCAAATGACATCGCTCCGATAAACAAGAAAGTAAATGTCTATTCGCTTATGTCTTTCCCCCTGTGCAACCCTGGGACAAGTCTTCAAAGCAAATGACGATTCCCGGTTGCTGCTCAGCGGGGTTTCTGGAAGTACCTCGGGTCTGCAGGGAGAATGTCCAGGGTCTGTGTGTATGGAGTGTAACAGAAAACACACACACCTGCAACATGCACACTGCACACCCACATACATGCCACACACACACGCCAGTGGTGCACGCAGATCTTCGTATATTCGTAAATAAGTAAAACCTTGGAGTTTCTGGCCTGTTTGGGACACACCGGGATTCAAAGCTGCCATCTGAATTTTCTGAGAAGAAGAAAATGTTCCTTTTTCCTTCTAGGTTCTCCACTAAGGCATCCTTTCCTTACAGATTAAAAATAAATAAATAAAACAGCCGGGCACTGGTGGCTCACACCTGTCTTTTTTTCTTTTATGTCAGTTGTGGGGCTTGAACTCTGGGCCTGGGCGCTGTCCCTCAGCTCTTCAGCTCAAGACTAGCGCTCTACCACTTGAGTCACAGCACCACTTCTGGTTTTCTGGTGGTTCATTGGAGATAAGAGTCTCACGGCCTTTCCTGCCCGGGCTGGCTTTGAACTGGGATCCTCAGATCTCAGCCTCCTGAGTAGCTAGGATGACAGGCGTGAGCCACTGGCGCCCAGCATCACGCCTGTCATCCCAGCTACTCAGGAGACTGAGATCTGAGCACGGAGCCCCGAGCTCAGGGAGACTCTTCCCTTAAACAGCCAGACTCAGAGGCGTAGCTCACAGGGTAGAGCATCCACCTTGAGCAAAAAAAGCCAGCGAGAGCAAGAGACCCGGAGTCCGGGCCGCACGGCCAGCACAATGAAGTGAAATAAAAACGAGATAAAATACCGGCAGGTTACATTCCCAGAACCTTCGTCTCCGCTGGTTGCTGGCTGGCGATGCTGCAATGCTGCGATGCTGCGGAGTGGGGCTGCGGGGAGGGGAGCGAAGGGAGGCCCCCGTGGCCTCACCCGGCTGTCCCACGATCTTTACAGAACGGTTTCCAAAAAGGATCTCCGGGAGCGATGGGCCGAAGCGGGCCCAGGATAGCCAGGCTGCGCCGACCGCAGGGGCCTCCCTCCCTGCCGGGGGTTTGGCCGTGGCTCCCTCCCGCAGCCCAGACGCCCCGCCGCCCGCCGCCCTCCTCCTCTCCTGTGGGCTGGCTTCACGGTGCCAAGGGGTCTGTGCGGGGAGGTGTGGCTCAAGCATCTCGGGAGGTGCCACCACCGGGAGAGCACGGGGGTCACTGAAGGTCGAAGGCCTCCCAAGCGTCCCAAGCTTCCAGGCGCACACTCAGACACGGGACCACAGAGAGCACCGGCTGTGGAGTCCGCTGGCTGAGCTGGGTTTAGATTCCTTGTACTAGTTAATTACTTTGATGGGTGTTTACTGAATTCCTGACATAGCTGAGACTTCCGGAAGGAGCAGGATTGAGAAAAAGAGGTCACGGGTGAGGGTGGGAAGGGAATGACAGAACTCGCCGCGCAGCCCTCCCGGGAAGGGGGCCCACTGGGCTTTGCAGTTGGCGTAGGAGTCATAGAGAAGGGAGCAGAGCTGACGGAGGCTGCGCCCCAGAGGAGGGTGAAGCCCTGGGCCGCAGGGGCTCAGGCTCCTGGGGGCGGAGAGCAGAGGTCAGAGGCCAAGCCGGTGCGTGAGGATGTGGGGTGCTGCCCGCGCAGAAAGCTGTGTGTGGGACTCACCTCCCACACTGGGAGGGGCGGGGTGGACCAAGGGACCCCAGGCCCCCCCGTAGTGAGGTGGGCATCACCGTGATCCATGCCACAATACCGCGTCCCGGAGAGACCAGTACCGAGGGATCAGTATTGCGATCCGTGTTGTGGTGCTCATCGTGATCCATGCCCAACCGATTCTTCCTTCCCACCATGCACGTGGGTCCATCCGGGCCTGGGACACGGTCTTGAGTGAGCTCAGCGCCTCGCTCTGCGGGTGTGTCAGGAACGTGTGTGTGCTCACGCTCACCCGCAGGCTCCCGTCCCATCCCATCCCTACCACAGTGATCGCCTCCCCGAGCCGCACACTGGCCTCGAACTCGCTCTGCCCCTCCTCCACCCATGGTGCAATGCGACCTGGAAGTGGTTTGTAGGAAATCTGACGTATTTAAGAGGAAGAAGCCGTCCCAACCCACGTCCAAGGCCCCCGTAATTCTGAGAGTCCGTGACGGACGGAGGCCGCAGCGTGACTCACGGCGGGCAGCCAGCCAGGGCTCCGACTGAGACCCACACACACCAGCCAGCACGAGGCCCGAGCTCAGTCCCAGCACCCCTCTCCCCCGACACCCACAAGATTGAAGATAACCTGGCATTTAGACATGGGCACTTGCATCGTTTTGAACAGCACATTGCAACCTCAAAATCAGAGATGACTAGAATATTCCTGAGATGTTAATGCCCAAGTTTTTAATTGTTACGATAACAGTGCTGTACAGAGGGGTTACAGAGTCCGGCCGACAGCACATACCGTCCTGGACAATGTCCCCCCTTCCCTCAACAGCTAGAATTGTGTGGATAAAGTAACTCGGGCCTGTGCCTGGCGGGCGGGCCGGGGAAGGGAGACTCAGCTCACGCGGACGCTGGACATCTACTGGGGGGCCGCCGTCACCCCGATGTTCCCTGCTCACTTTTCCCTTGGATTTTCGTTCAGATTCTCTCGTTGGGCCCTCGGTCCTTCCACAAGGTACCCGGCCGGTCTTTAACATCCACCCCTCCCTCCTGCAGAATCCGCAAGTACAAAGGAGGAGGCCGCTTTTATGAGAATGTCCTGAGCTGATTAGAACCCTCGGCCCCCAGGCCTCTCTGGGTGTGGTGCGCCCCGCTTATTGTTAGCAGCCTTGAGCAAACAAGCTATCCTAGCTGACTGGTGCCCCGAGGATTTCCAGGGAAGGCAGCAGGGCAGGCTGAGGTGGGGGGCGGG